AATCACATGTTTCACAACATAAAAAAGATCAACAGTCGATTTTGTCACAAAGTGATAAAATGAGTGTCCATTATGCTTATCAGGCGTGTAACAATCAATGATTATCATAATTTATACTTTTACGCGTATTTTACAAAACAAATTTTATTTATAGAAGCAAGAAACAACAATGACAACACCTATTAATAATATTTATAAGAATACCAACAACTACACCAATTACAACAATGATATTAGTATGTCACAAAATTTTATGAATAATGATAATGTTAATAACAACAACAATGAAAGCTTTTTAAATGATAACTATGATAATGATAATAATTATTTTAACAATAATATTTATAATTATAATAATGATAACAATAATTATAATAGCAGTGATGGTGATGAAGGTAACAATAACAACAACAATAATAGTAACAGTAATATGGAATTTTCGGAATTTTCTACTGGATCTGGGAAAAAGCTTGTGAACATATCTAAAGATTCATTTGAAAGAGCATATGAGTGTTTAGATGTTTCTGAACATTCTTCTTCTTCCACTTTCAATAATATATCAAACGATCCTCCAGGAATATCTGGATTTTCCACTGGCTCTGGAAGAGGAATTAATCCTGTATCAAAAGAATCAATGGAAAAAGCATACAAATGTTTGGATGTTCCCACCAATTTATCATCACCATCTACTAATTCCAATAATAATCCTTCGGGAATATTTGGATTCTCCACTGGCTCTGGAAGAGAAATTAATCCTTTATCAAAAGAATCAATAGAAAAAGCATACAAGTTTTTGGACATTCCTACTGATTTATCATCACCATCTACCAATTTCAATAATATATCAAATAATCCTTCAGGAATATCTGGATTTTCCACTGGCTCTGGAAAAGGAATTAATCCTGTATCAAAAGAATCAATGGAAAAAGCATACAAATGTTTGGACGTTCCTACTGATTTATCATCACCATCTACTAATTCCAATAATATATCAAATAATCCTTCAGGAATACCTGGATTTTCCACTGGCTCTGGAAGAGAAATTAATCCTGTATCAAAAGAATCAATGGAAAAAGCATATAAATGTTTGGATGTTCCCACCCATTCATTATTACCATCTATTAATTCCAATAATATATCAAATAATATTTTGGGAATATCTGGATTTTCCACTGGCTCTGGAAGAGGAATTAATCCTATATCAAAAGAATCAATGGAAGAAGCATACAAGCATTTGGATGTTTCTGAACAATCTTCTTCAAATATCAGACCTTTAAAAGATAATGATATAAAAAAGTTTAGAAAACCTATAAAAAGTTTTGAAAATAATAATAATAAAAACAACAACAATAGTAATAATAATCTATTAAATGAAACACCTAGTAATATAAAGAAATCAAAAAAAAATCGACATTCAATTAAATATGATTCAAATATTTATAAATCACCATCAATCAAATCTTCTCATCAATCTAATTTAAAATCAAGAACTCCACTCAAATCATTGCATTCATTACAAAATATTAAAAATTCGTCACCTCAATCTAATAAAAATAATGACAACAATAAAAAAAAATATAAAAAAAATATAAAATCTTCATCTTTATCATCACAGACAACAATCTCTTCGTCAATCAATAATAATGATGATGATGATAATAACATTGGCACCAAATTCTTTGAATTATCATCATCTGTACCTAGAAATGTTATGGGAAACTTGGTATATCATCATCCTTTGAAATTTACTGAACAAAATTTATTAAATTTTGAAATACCAACAGATGCTTTATACATAAATCCATCAAATGCCACTCATTATAGATTCACTTGGCCAAGACTTTTTTCAAAATCAGATTCCCAACCACAACAAAAAACATGGGGCCCAAATGAAGCATTATCATGTTTAATTGAATGTGGTGCTAATCCTAAATTGATAGATGAACAATGGGTGCTAAATCATTACAAATGGATAGTATGGAAAATAACTAGTATGATTAGATCTTATCCTTATTTGTTTCGTGACTGGCTATCATCTGATACAGTACTTGATCAGTTAAGATATAGATATGAAAGAGAAATAAATCGTGCACACAGATCTTCTATTAAATTAATTGTAGAAGGTGATACTTCACCATCATGGCCTATTGTTCTTTGTGTATCAGATATAATTGATGATAGTAACACTCCATTAACATCACAATCTTCTTCATTGTCATCAACACCACTATCTTCTTCATTGTCATCAGCACCATTATTTTCCTCATTGTCATCAACTTCTTACTCATCATCACCACCTTTCCCTTATATATCAAAATCATCATCATCAACTAATAAAGAAATTCCTATTGATTCAAAACTTTCACTTGAATTGACTGATGGCTGGTATAAGATTCATGCATGTATTGATCCACCATTACAACGAGCTATAATGAAATCCAAAATAAAAATTGGTAGCAAACTTGAAATTTGTGGTGCAAAAGTTTATGGAGAGTCTGTTGGCAAAACATCAGTATTAGAAGCAACAAATTCCATATATTTGAAATTATCAGGAAATTCAACAAAACCAGCTCATTGGGACTCCAAACTTGGGTTTGGAAAGTTTAGACCTTTTGCTTCATTAAATAGTCTTACCCCAGATGGTGGGTTTATTTTTGCCATTGATGTTGTGGTAATGCGAAAATATCCTTTGATGTACCGTGAAACAACTAAAGATGGAATATATATCATGCGTAACGAAAAAGGAGAAGAACTGGCTCAAAGAAAATTTACAGAACAGATGCAGGAAAAGGTGCTATCCTTACTAGAAATTTATCATAAGGTAGGAATAGGCGGTGATGATTCAGCAAATAATAATATCAGGCAAAAACAAGCAATAACTAAACAATATGTGAATAGTCTCACATCTGGAGAAGAAATATTTAATTTATTGCATGAGAATACTGAGGATTCTAATAGGATATTTGAATATTTGAGCTCTGATCAGATTAGATGGTTAAATGATTGGCTGAATAGAAAAAAGATAAGAGATTTAAATGAAAAGAATGATTGGCTTAATGAGCAGTTGGAATCAATGGATTTGAAGTGTGTTCGCTCTGTTGTTCCATTCTTTAAAGTACGTGTATGTGATTATCATGAAACTGTTGGAGAGGTTCAATCCAGGGTTAAAAGAGAAGCATTGATCACCATATGGAGTCCTAGCAGTTCTTTATATGATTCTATTCGTGAAGGACAAAGAAATCACATATATTCATTGATGGTGGCCAATAATCAATCATATGATCCAAATTTATCAACAACAATTCCTTTAATACGTCTCACATCAATAGGACATACAACAATATGGAGAGAACAACAAGCCAATTTAAATAAAATCAGAAATTCATTATATAATATACGAGTTGTTACAAGTTGTGATGAATTAGAGATGACGATAAGGACAAATCGTCATCATTATCAAAAAGAGCATGATATGGTAGTAATTGTGTTAGTAGTTGGGGAAATTGTGGAGAAGATACAATATGGAATCACTATAGAAATACAAACTGCAATAGCTACAGATACAAGTGGACAGCTTGTGTTCATTGAATTCAATAAGTCATTCTTTATTAATTTGAATAATTTATTGATACCAAAGTCTATATTGACCATAATCAACTTAAAGCATACTGGTTATGATTCAAATCATCAAGTCCACATACTTTCGACATGTGATGAGACAGAGGTCAGACAATTTCCTCATGAAGATTACTTGAAACAAGCTAAATCAAGACTTGAATCTTGGGTCAAAGTCAACGAGTCAATTCTTAATGTTTTTGAATCTAATGCTCAAAATTTATATAAATCATTTTCATCCTGCTCTTCTATTTATTATAATTAATATTAATGTGTGTTTTCATAAAGATCCATTTATTTTATATTACTTTTTTTTTTTTGAGAGAGACTGTTCTTTTTATTTTATTATTTGCAAAATAATTTTATAATTTTATAATATAATATACTTTGTATATGCATATTTACAAATCTATGTATCTAAAATATATTAATGGAAGAATCAAGATAATCAACGTGTTGTAAAATCAAAGTTTAATTCGTTGCAAGCTTGAAGAAGGTTTTCATTGTAAATGTATCTTTTGAAAAAAAAAATTTAATATAATTTGTTTAGTGTAAGTTGATTAATAATTAAAAGAACTTGAATATTTTTTTTCTCGAATAATTCCATCTTCAGACCTTTTTACTCAATTGTTTGATAAAATGCAAAAATCTTGCTTTCAAAATATTAGACATCATTCTATCCAACTTTCATTACATAATAATAATTAGATTCACTCAACAAGTTCGTTAAACTATTGACAAGTTTGCTAGATCAGACTTTAAAACAAAAGTGCTATTTCATTAAGAATATTTGTATGTGTATCTCATCACAAAGAGCATTTTTAGCTTAGAAATCATGCTCATTTTACTTATAAAAAGCTTGGAGCTGTATATCAAGATAAACAAAATTAAATAAAAAAAATTACATCAGTAAGTTCTGAAGATCGTGGATATAAAAATCCCGTGCTTCTAACTTTGTCAATTAAAAAAATAACCATAAAATATTCAAGTGTTTGATAGACAATGGTGGTTGAAATGAATACTAACGCAATAAAAAAAAGTTTTTAAACTTTATTATAATAATGACCCACAACGTTGTTGCAAATTTTTTACAGTTAAACAAAATGTTGTCAATTTTTATAACAGAACGTTGTCACACCATATTAATATAGAAAACCAAAATATCGCAACCAAAAATATTTTTCATAAAAAGATCGGCAAATTTTTACAAAAATCCCGTGATACAACTTTATTAAAAAGAATAAAATATTTATCATTTATAATACTTTACTTTAAAGGAATTTATAATTTTTGCATCAGCAGGTTGTAGATGGGCAGTTATATTAGGAGGAAGGTGATGAAGCATGATATTTGTTAAAATGGTTGCTTGATCAAGAATGTGTACTGGTGCATTATCAAACAATAATAAAATATTTTTATTTTCCCTGGCCATTTTCTGGTTCAACTTTATCAAATATTGATTCCAAATAGAAACCTGCATCCAGGCTTTTGTGTTCCAATAGTAATCAACTGGAAGCTTTGACTTGTCAACTCCAAGCATGTCTCTTGGTGTTTGATACTTATGAATAAATAAAAGAGGAAGTTTTTCAGTTCCTGTTGCAGTAAAAAGGTTATTCTTTTTTTCGATTTTTTAATACCAGAAAGAAGACCAGTTGATAATGTCTTTGAAGGTTCTAAATCCCAGAGCAAGCCTAATAAAATAAATACTTGGTTAGTCTATTATAAACGATATAATAATAATTATACTGAATTATTTTACCAGGTTCATCACATCTTCTAAAGGAAATTCCTTAATTATTTCTTATAATCTTCTTCTTTCTCCATGCTTTATGTTATTTCTTTTCTTAAAATTCGACACCCAACAATCTGAACCTTTAAAATCATTGATATCTAGTAATTTGGCAAATCTTTTAGCTTTAGTGAGAATTATATCACCTGTAATTACTCTTTTATCTGAAATTGCTTGATTGAGCCATATCATCAATGCACTTTCAAGATCAGGATATTTTGCAGCTTTATCTTTTTGTCTGTTGGTATCATTAGGGTTGATAGATAACCATTTATCTTTATCTTTTAAAATATTGCAAACAGTAAGTTCTGCAATTCCAAATTTTTGGCCAAGTTCTTTATATGTGAATGATGGATTTCTTTCATTAAATTCACAAAGTTGTTTTTTTTTGCCCCAAGTCAAAACTTTTCTTTTTTTATTTGATTGATCAATTGATGACATTTTTTTTTTATTAAAGTTTGAGAAAAAAATTTTTAGCTGAAATGATTTTTTTAATAAATTATTACAAAGTACAATTCCTAGTTCTTTTATTTATAAGAAATTCAGTGAATAATTACAAGAAAATTATTTTTAAACTTTTTGCGACACATTACTAAATTCAATTACTTTATTTCCCGCGAGACATTACTAAATTGTTTTTTCGCAACACATTACTAAATTCAATTATTTTTAAACTTTTTGCGACACATTTACTAAATTCAATTACTTTATTTTTCGCGAGACATTACTAAATTCAATTATTTTATTTTTCGCGAGACATTATTAAATTCAATTACTTATTTTTTGCAAGATATTACTAAATTCAATTGATTTAGTTTTCGCGACACATTACTAAATTCAATTATTTTATTTTTCGCGACACTTTGCTAAATTCAATTACTTTGTTTTTTCGCGACACATTACTAAATTCAATTACTAAATTTAATTATTTTTATTTTCTAATATTATTAGTAAAGTGAAAAAATGAAGACCAGATTTCAAATAATACTCCAAACCTTTATATAGATGTTAACCCAAATAAACGTCCAACTGCCAGAAATATATATGTATGTAATTATTATTCTTACCAAACATTATTCAATATCCAATTTTCAACAACTATATGAAAGATAAAGGTTTCTACTCTTGTTATTAAGGAAGTTGGACAGATTTTTTCAAAATCTGCTTATTTCCCTTTCATGACTATACTACGTTCAGTGTTTTGAGTTGTTCACACGATCCGCAGCAGAACTGCTATTTATATAATAATATCTTGCCGTTCTCTTTAGCAAATCTCAAAGAAGAATTTTCGTCAAGTGTTTGCCACTTGTTGACGTTTGCCAGGCGAGACATTTTATCGGGCTATATTCTGGTTTCTCCAACCTTAATTCTGATTGATTAACCAATAATCCTTTTTTTTTTGAATATGCATCAAAACATGTTTAAAAATATTGATTTATAGTTTCATGACCATACTATTAATATATTTATATTATTTTAATAATCTTTTACATCTGACTATGTTGCTTAGAGCGAAAATCTGTTTCCACGTGAGGGTGCTGCAGATCTATTTCATTTATGGCAAAGATTTTTGATTAATCTATCCATTTTTAGTAAAAAAACAAACAAAAACTTTAAAATATGGTGGAATTGTCTTCTATTCCTTCTTCCGATAATAATAATAATACTACCAACAACCATGTTAATAAAGACAATAATTTAGAAGAGAGTTCATCGTCGAACCACATGAACACCACCACAGAAGCTTCAAACCACCACCACCAAGAAGAAGAAGAAGAAGAAGGAGCCTCAAGATCTGGCGAGAATACTAGAATAAAATTTGCTCCATGCACTATATGTTCAGAACCAGGCTGTAGTACTAGTAAACAAATTACAACAATAACTATTAAAGTAATAACGGTAGTAATAAGGAATGAAGATGGAGATAGTATAACTAATTCATTTGTTGAAACAGACGTGTCACCTGTTGTGACCACAATAGAGACATCAGATCCATCACAAATTGAAGTTGAAACAACCGAATATCCGCAACAGTCACAGTCATGTTCACATCAACAACAACGACAAGAAGAAGAAGAGGGGGAGGAGGAGGGGTAGAAAATGTAATTAATACACCTATTGTTATAACTGAACCAGATTGTATTTAAATTGAACATTTTTTTTAGTAGGGATTTTCTTATTTCAATTTAATAATAGTAATGATGGTGATGAACAGAGAAAATATCTGGGTAACTGATGATTATAATTCAAAATTCTGCGCTTTTACCATAATACCATAACATTATTATTTTAATATTAATTAGCGTGATAAGGCAAGACATCATTTGATAATTAATCTTTTTTTCGTTACCTTTTTATCTTGATCGATATTATCGTTAAATAAACAAAATATCAAGAAAAAATTATTGTTTGAACGTTAAATATACTAAACCAATGGATTAATGCCAAGTTTCTACTGAATTAACCAACTAGTTTGTTATCTCATGCTCTCCCCGATTCGTATTAATTATTTAAATGTGTCACTAAGTCATAAAGATCAATGATTTGCATATTTAACTTTGGGGAAAAAAAATACTATCATCTTGTTTCTAACAATTCATTTTTTACTTTATTTAAAAAAAAAAAATGAATAAAAAAAATGGATGCTGTTAAAGACAAATTCAGATATTATAATTCCCTGGCCGACAAAAAATTAGCAAAATATCCACAAATAAATAAGTTGGAACAAACAACTGGAGTTTCAAAAACTTACCTTGCAGCTGGCGTTTTAGGCATTGTATCTATTTTGATATTTTTCAATTTTTGGGGAGAATTACTCTCTAACCTTATCGGATGGCTTTATCCTGGTAATTAATTATTATTTGTTCCTTTAACTTCTCAAATTTTAAAAACTTTATTCAAAAA